ACCAGGTGTGTGTGTGTGCAGGTGATGTTCGGCAGTGGTGCTAACGAGGGGAGCGGCCTGCAGGGGGCGCTGCCGGTGTCGGTGTTTGAGACGCTGAACCGTCAGTTTGGCGTTTCTTTCGAGTGCTTTGCCTCGCCGCTCAACTGCTACTTCAAACAGTTTTGCTCCGCCTTCCCTGATACCGACGGCTTCTTCGGGTCCAGAGGGTGAGGTGACACAGCTGGACGCTGCACAGTCGGTCCACTCTCCCTGTCCCAGCGTAACGATCTGGCATGTGTTTCAGGCCCTTCCTGTCCTTCTGTCCGGTCAGCGGCTCGTTTGAAGCCAACCCGCCGTTCTGCGAGGAGCTGATGGACGCCATGGTGACGCACTTCGAGGTCAGTACTAGTCTCTGATCCGGCCTCTGAAAGGGACTGTGATCCAGGGTTTCTGATCCGTCTCCTGTCTTTCTCAGGACCTGTTGGACCAGTCCTCGGAGCCTCTGTCGTTCATCGTGTTCGTGCCTGAGTGGCGTGACCCCGTGACTCCAGCTCTGACTCGCATGGAAGGAAGTAGATTCCTGCGTCATCAACTCAGCATTCCCGCCTACGAGCATGAGTACCGATCAGGGAGTCAGCACATCTGCAAAAGGTACTCGTACTACTGTAATGCTAATATTGTGTACACTGAATCACTCTGATTGTAGTAGCCTAATACTCTGATTACTTTATATATTTTCAGGGATGAGATGTACTACCGGGCTGTACACGGTACTGCCGTTCTCTTCCTGCAGAACGACGCCGGCTTTGCGAAGTGGGCGCCTACTCCAGAGCGTCTGGCCGAGCTGACGGCAGCGTACCGCGCATCTTCCACCCGCATTTCCTCCTTGTCGTCCCCTGGCCCTGCCCACATTTCTCCTGGAGATAGAGACTCCGCCCCCAAAACATCTGATAGGACACAGAGTAACGTATTGTCACCCGGTGGCCACGACAACAACAACAACAACAACAACAGCAGCGGTGATAGTGGCAGCAGCAGCAGCAGCAGTCCTCGAGACAAAGCATCCACCGTGTAGGCGGGGCTTGTGGAGGCCACGCCCTCTCGCCTGTTGGACAGTTGTTTCAAGTTTTGTTTTCTGACTTGTCTCGTTCAGATTGTCCTTCACCAGCACCTGTAGCAAATGTTTATCCATAATGCCACATGCCACCAGGGGGTGGGCGAAGCCTGAATTAGCCCCACCCTCTGCTGGCTTTAACCCCGCTCTGTTGTGATTGGTCAAAGCTCTGGAGCTTTTTTATTTTTAAAATTTATTTTTAAACTTGCAGCTGATTCTTGTTCAGCTGTGGCTTCTGTTGTTCAGCAACAAACATCACAGCCAATCAGTGAGCAGCGACTTGGAGCTCCAGCAATAACCCCCCCTCACCTGTAATGTCACTTGTGACCACGGAGGACTCTGGTCCCCGCACCCATAGGGCTTTCTGATTGGTCAATAAGGCAGCTACTGTTTCTATTGGACAGATCTTTGTTTTTCTGGGGTTTGATTTTGTTTTTTCAGTCCTGCTTCTGGCCCCGCCTACTTATAATGGCCCGGCCAGTCAGTGTGGGGAAACGGACTCATGAGGTGGAGGAGGTGGAGGATTAACAGTTAGGTGGAGGAGGTGGAGTCAGATTCAGACTGTTGCTCGGAGACAGACGCCTTAGAGTGTGGGGTCACTGACGCTGAGGGGGCGGGGTCTCATGTAATCAAACTGACAGACATTTGTGTGAACGCGACAGTTTTTTGTCATTAACGTCTTTTTTTTTCGGGTTCATCGAACGTTTGTCAGAAAAATTAAAGTTTTTTTTTATTTAAACTTTTGGGAGTTTTCTTGGTGTTTTTTTTATTTTATTTTTAAGTGTTTCAAACATTTTTACCCTCTTTTCTGCTCTCTGGCTCCTCCCACTCAGTAACCTGACACTAAAACAAATGTTTGTTCTGGGATTGGCTGGCTGTGGCCCAATGAGGCGTCTGTTTCCGGGGCTGGCAGCAGTGTATATAGTGTATAGCCTGTTGATGTTTTAATTTAAAGCGCCGGTGTGAAACCAAAGCGACAAAGCTGCGATAGACAGACTCCTCCTCCTCACATCGTCTTCATCATCATCCGCTGTGCGTGAACTATTTCGAAGATGTTCCTGACCCTCAGAGCGAGCGCCGCCATTCTTACGTTCGTCTTCCCGTTCAGCACGAGGTCATGTGTTTCGTGCCGCTGCAGCTTCACTTGTTTGGTCACGTTAAGAACGTTCGTCACGGCTTCGACATGTGACAGTAATGTAAAGCACCGCAGGACGCCACTCTGTTATTGGCATCAAACCCTGACATGAACTGTCTTAGTCACCGTTGTGTGATGGCGTGCATTTAAATGCTTCCCTCGCCATCACACAAAGGTCACTATGAAACTTTTTGCAGTTTTCTTGGCGAGCCGAACCGCTCACAGAGATGCCATCATAATCTGTGTCCACGGGAACAAATGCACCAGGAGAAACGTGACGCAGGACGCGATGGAACAGCGGATTTTTATACGTGAACGTAATTGTCGTTGTGACACTCGCTCACATGTAAGGATTAACGCGCGTGTGGTGGATTAACTCCGAACCAGGAGTGTGCACGTGAGCCGCGCACTGGTTCTTTGATGTCACAGTGAATACTGAGCTGTGATTGGCTTGCTCTGGCAGCAGCAGTGAAACGCGCACACGATGCTCCGGTGATGCAATCAGAGGCTCATCCACTGGGCCCGCCTCCATAGGTGTGTGTCCTGGTCATAGCTGCGTCCATGTGCCCAGTTACTTGTGCACAAACTCCAGGTGTTTGTCAGAGGGCGGAGCTAGAAGTGCTGATAGCTTAGCATAGCACAAAGTCGCTAATGTTGCAGCTGCAGACGTCTCACTTCATCTGTCTCACCTGCTGGCTTCACTCTTTGACTGTCTGTGATGTAGGCGGCGGCTCGCCAGAGCCTGGCTGTAAACAGGAAGTGGTCCATCTTGTTTGTTGGCCCCTCTGCAGATTGTAAATAGTGTCTGTACTCCAGTAAAATCTGAAACCAGTAAAACCAGTGCTGTTCCTCTTTCTGCTACAGTCACATGACCTCACACAGTCACACCAGTGTAAATGTTTGTCATCTACAGTAAGACCATCTGCAAGTATTATTTGTCGTTTCTGTGTGCTGACAGTTTAAACTTCACGTTGGTCAGTGTTACACTCTCACCTGTGACGTCACCCCGGAGTCTGCCTGCCGGGCGCCATCACCATGAACAGAATAAAATGGCGGGTTTTCTCTGAGAACACGGTTGGTGCACATGGTGATGACATTTTGATGCATTTATTCTTCGTCAGACTGCACAGCAAAACAAACTGCAGTAATCGTCTGAGTCACAGCTAAGATGCTTTCCTATCCTAGCCTCCTATCTTCGTATACCTGCTGACAGCACACCTGTCCACGTTTATGATTTGTCCTAAGCTCCGCCTCCTTCGAGTGAATGCGCTGAATGACCAGAAATCCTGAAATTCATAGCACAAGGCCCAGAGGAGCAGGTGAGGATAAGCTGATGACCCACCTTCTCTAGAGAAGCTTCTGACTGAAAACGCTGCCGAGGCTGCTCGATCCCGCGGACCTGACGTCACATGTGTTCACAGCCGTTACGCACTTTTACAGCTCGTGCACTTGCATTAAAGCGGAGTTCAGTGATATGACGACATCTAATTTTAGAATTTGTATAATTTTAACATTTCGTATAATTTTAGTATTTATGTTTTATAGCAGTTTTACAATATGTTTGGTGCCTGTCAGTATTTATCTCCTTTTTACATTGTGCTCAGTATGACGTTAGTGAGTCACGTGATGACAGCGTGTGCTGTGCCTTACGGCATTCACACGATTGTGTTCCTGTTTCTCTTTAAACTTTATTATTGCTCCGTTTCTTTGCTGCTTAACTACTCCCTCAGTTTTCATCCGATTTTCACCGTTCAAAATTTAAACTGTTCTGATTCTGCTAATGCCAGATATCTTTTGGTGCTCATAGCTTTTATACCTTTTGAAATATTAAGCTTTTTATGCCATTTTTTGGCCCATTTTGATCAATGGGACCATTCTCAGCTCTTCAGCAGCTCCTTCACGTTCAGCAGAAAGTTCAGCTTTTTCCACCTCTTTTCAATACAAGCCTCTTCTGCTCCGGTTTGGCTCAGTGAGATGAGTAGCCGCCTTAAGACCAGGGAGCGCAGGTTCGAATCCTACCTGTGTCCGATGCTCCACATCTTCTCCTCTTGCACTTACTCTGCCCTTTTAAATAAAGCAGTTTTAGGCAAAGAGATAAGCTTCTACACCTCTTTTCAGCAGATAGTTCTGCTTCTTCTGCTTTTTTCAGAGTGCACTACACGGCATTCACACTGCATTTTCGCAGGAAATGCAACTTTTTCTATTTTTTTTTTAAATTTGTATTTAGAGGCACACCTGTTCAGGGCTGAATGTCGCCACTGATTTCTATAACTGATTCGATTCAGTCAGTCACAAGTATTCTAATTCTGATCATTTATCAGTACATATTTTTATATCTGTGTATAAAACAAAGCTGACACTGTGCTTCAACAGAGGTGTGAGCATCACAGCAGAGGCCTTTGTGTCAAAGTAACTGAGGATAAAACAAAAAAACAGGAAGCAGAAACCTGGCCTGACTTCTTATAGATAACCTTACAAATACAAATAACCTTAAAAATATTCTGCCATAGATCAAAAACTGAAGAAAACCATGAATCAACATGTGAACATTACCTGATGCTGCTGAAGGGGAGCAGAGCACACAGAGACAGAGCTGTGCAGGAAGTCTGATTTTGTCTTGGGGGAAAGTGTGACGATGTTTATCAGATATGACATTATTCAAACTCAAATCGATTTTTAAACCCACCCCTACACCTGTCTGCACAGGTGACCTCCTTACAATCACAAATCCTCCGGAAGTCAGTGCTTTTATTGTGAAGCGGTGACAGGAAGTGCGGTTGTATTCGGTTTTGCCGGAAGTGGAAGAAGCAGCAGCGAAGTTTCCGGGAAACAGACAATAAACAGGCAAAGTGGTAGCCACGCATCGATTATTGTTTGCTGAGTGTCAGTTGATCGTCGGTCAGCTCGGGGCAGTAACCGTAAACACCTTTACGGCCGCTGATTGCCGTTAGCGCGGTCTTTGGCCCGGTTGGACCCGGATCGGAACAGATGGGGGCGCACCGCAGTGACGGAGGCCGGGACTGGCTGCAGCAGGACGGGCCGGAGCAGCCGGACCACCCGGAGCAGAGCCCGGTGAGGCCGCGAGCCACCGCACAAACATCCGGTCACACGACACCGTGAATATTTTTTCATGAAAGCTGGTGACGTCACGGAATAAGCCTAAACACGGGGGTTGGGGTAACTCCAGGAAATAGACGGAGCCCCGGCCCCCGCTTTTTGGTGTGTTTTTGTCAGAGTTGGCTCTCAGGTGGTTTGAGTCACGTGTCTGCTGTCAGGATAAGCCAAACACCTGCGCAGTTGAAAGTAATCTATTACTCTATAGGCAGCAATCTTTTACTATATGTTAATGTTTGTCGGGAAACACAGGTGCGCTTCACCTGAACACCTGCACACTCTGTTTTCTAAATAACGATGGTTGAAAATGTCCTGGTGTGCTCACCTGTTCAGTGTCCTCTGCTCTTACCTGTTCACACGTCATACAGTTACACTCATCTCTGTGTGTGTGTGTGTGTGTAGAAGCCGTGGAACTTGATGATCAAACACAGACAGATCCAAAGACGAGGACGGCGCTCTCACATGATGGTCAGGTAAGTGGACCGTTGGATCTGATTGGCTTGTACTTCCTGTGATGGTTGTGGCTCTGTGCTATGACGAGAGTGCAACATCCAGGATATGTTTCTGTTGGCTGGATCCACGTAGCCTGAGTTTGGGATCAGGATTGGAGGTCACACGAAGTTCACAGGGGGTTTCTCCTGCACGTTCACATGAAAGAGGCGGGATTTTTGTGATTGTGACCAATCGCAAACTGGCATTTCATGTCTCACATCACTGTTCCTCCACAGAAAACGATCCCCATGAGCGCCTTATCAGTAAAATGCAAATGAGACAGTTGTTCAGTCTTTTGTGGCACACAGTAAAAATCGTGCTTCTAGTTAATAGTTTTGTCACTGAGCGCGCTCACACTGCTGTCTGTTTGTAAGGTGGCGGCTGCACATCAAAGCTTCCTGTCCCACAGCCCGATGAAGGAAACAATGCAACGCAGGGTTTGTGCTTCATTCGGTTGGTTTATTAAAGTACGGCCTCTTGTGAATCACAGAACGAGTGGAAACGTCCCGCGCTCCTGACAGCAGTCGTTTTTCTGTATGGCGCCATACAAATCTGACCTGGGGTCAGCTGGTGCAGTGCAGGTGTGCTGTTTCAGGATCACATATTAACGCTCGAAGACTGCCAACAGAAAACAATCAAGAACTGAAGCTGAGGTGATTTATCATTGGTTACTGATGGTCGTCAGGGAAACACAAAGACATTGTTAAAATCCTTAGACCCCTCCCACTGTCACCGCAGCCGTCCGAGGCTGCTGACACTATTTTCTGGAGTGCTCGTTGATCAGTAGGAAGTGATGTCGTACTTGTTGATCTCTGATCTGGATCTTAACCTGCTCTGGAGCAGGTGAGGTTCACAGTGTTAGTTACCATGGTGATGAAAGCCAGGCTTCGTAGCGCCGACCTCTGAGCTCACAGGAAGGGAAACGTAAACGCGGCCATTCAGTTTGTTTTTAAAAAACGTTATCAACAACTCTCAGACGACAGGAGTCCAGGTGTGTCGGGGTTTCACCTCGAGCTGACGCAGACAGACCTGCTCACCTGTCCTCACCTGTCTGTGCAGCTACACGGATCCTCAGGTGTCCATGGACCTGCTGCGTGCCGTGCTCCAGCCCAGCTTCAACCAAGACATCATGGCCGTGTTCAGTAAATATCAGAAGGTTAGCAGTCGCACTAAAAGGGGAGGGGGTGGAGTCATTTGGTTTGACCTGTGCGAGCAGGTGTGTTTGTGTTGCAGTTCTTCGAGAAGGCGGCAGAGAACGTGAAGGAGAACGTTGGAGACGACATTCAGACCGATCACCTGATCAAGGAGGCGTGCAGGAACGTCCTCGAACACGTGAGGCATTCTGATGCTGACCACCTGAACTCACCTGACAGGTGTACCTGTGAAGCCGGATTAGTTAGTGAGCTGTGAGTGGAAAGCCTGATCTGTTTCCCTATGATTTCATCTCCAGGCCAAGCAGCTGTTCCCGGAGGCTGAGGTGAAGAGGGCGGTGCCAGAGGCGATGATGAAGGTAGGTGTCGGAGCAGGCAGCTTACCTGGGAAGGTCGTCCCGTGCCTCACCTGTTTGTTTCCCGCAGAGGCAACGAGTTGCTGATGACGACTGCAGCCAGAGAGGAAGCCCGCTGCACAAGAAGGTAGCTCCACCCCCCAAACACACACACGCACACACGAGTGCGATCACTGACTCTGATCACTTCCTGTCCTCAGAGAAAGATGCGTCCGGGTCCCGTGGCCTCATCTGATCGACCTCTGACCTTCTCTGTGTGAGTATCTAATAGGTGACATCATCGTCAGTGCACAGGTAGATGAACACACCTGACCGACGTCCATCTGTGTCCTCAGGGTGAAGCCCAAGTCTGAGCCCGTCAAGAAGGAGGGGCCCAAGGTGAGTGGTTACTGACAGGTGAATGTCTTCATCATCATCAGACCCAATAACACGGTGGCAGCGACCCAGTGTGACCCGATGGGGGCGCTGTGCTCTACAGCGTTCATGTCGGGGGTGTGAAGTCGCCGCTGTGATGATGTCACAGTGATGCTGTCTGTGTTTCAGTGGGATCCGTCCAGACTCAGCGACAGCAGCACGTTCGTGCTCGGCTCAAGAGCCAACAAGTGAGTCCGCAGAGGCGCCGCCGACAGGAAACGGCATTCACACAACACTCAAACGTTTACACGTAAACCTCCATAACAGCGCTACAACATGATGTTGTGATGTCACTGCAGGGCGCTCGGAATGGGCGGGACCAGAGGACGAATCTACATCAAACACGCCGACCTGTTCAAGGTAAGATGCTGCATGATGTCACAGGAATCTGACATCTACGTCCATCTTTGGTATACAGTCTGTGGTCTGAAGACTGTGTGTGTGTGTGTGTGTGTGTGCGTGTGTGTGTGTGTG